TGAAAATGAAAATAACAGAAAATCAAAGACAATGTGCAATTCGATAATTAAAAAGTGACAGCTTATAAACATAACCTAAAATGCATGAGAAAAAATTTGTCGATAAAATCAATATAGCAGAGCTTTTTAGAAGGTAGATGGCAGCACTCATCTATTTTCTTTCTTTAAATTTTTTCTGAATCGTTTTTATAAAAAGCAAAACTGCCATCTACCTTCTAAAAAGCTCGGCTATATTGATTTTATCGACAAATTTTTTCTCATGCATTTTAGGTTATGTTTATAAGCTGTCACTTTTTAATTATCGAATTGCACATTGTCTTTGATTTTCTGTTATTTTCATTTTCAAATTAAATAGTGAAATGGTCTCCGCAATTGTACTATTACCAAAATATCTGAAAAAAATTCGTTTAATTTTAAGTCGATTCAATTCGGCCATGATTGATATAAATTGAATAAATTTTTTGCATCAAAAAATGAGACCGTTTCGTGTATCATTTCTGAAAATGATACACAAAACGATCTCTTTTTGATATAACTTATGTGCATCAAAACGTTGCAAAGATTTGATGCAATTTTTGGTCTCAATTTGATACTTTTAGGAAAACTGTGAAACAGTCTAGTAGTTTGTTATTTACTAAATTTATACGAAAAAGCAGAACCAACATTTCGTAATTTGCTAAAACTATACGAAAAAGTAGGAGTGGTGTTATAAAATAAAGCACGTTTCAATATTTGCTAAAACTATATACGAAAAAGCAAGAGCCGTGAAAAAAAGAAGAACGTCGTAACCACCAATGGCTCTTTTCTCAGGTTTTCTCTCCTTTTCTATTGTTAAATATTTAAAAATAATAATAAAAATAATTATTTATTAAGAAATAATAAAATATTTTATTACCTTTCAAAGAACAATTTTTATCATAAAATTATTTAATTTAATTATAGAAGCAAACTTATAACAAATATTCTATAATTATATTTAGAAAAAGAATTTTATCAAAACTTTTTCTAGTCTATATTGCAGAAATAAAAATTATATAAAAATTATGAGCAAACAAATGAAGTATTTTATTATTGAATATTAATTAAAATTATTTTTAATTCATATTGTAGTATTAAAAATTATTTTAAAATCAGGATGTCCAGCAAGGCTTAAAGAAAAAAATTCCCTGACTTTTCTCTGCCATTTTTTTTTCGTGACTACTCGTTAGTGATCGGACTCACTCACTTAACTTCGTCAAACTTCGGTGATTTTTGATATTTTTCTATCATTTTTTGAAAGAAAAAGTATATCAAAATGTAAAATGATTATACCAGTTAACGGAATTCTAAATACAGAAAATAAAATAATAATACTTGTTACAGGGCGTATTAGAATTTAACATTTGGAGTTTTCATAATACAATTATGAAATTCGCAAAAACTATGTTAATTTTTGTTTCTAAATATATTAAACTTTATTATTTTTATTTTAGGCATTCTTAAAAAATAGTAATGAAATCTATTAGCACCCCAAAATCTGCAAAATCTTCCGCAATTGTAACTTAATATAATAAATATGAGTGTCAAAATATTAAATATTCTAACAAGATTTCTTTCCGTGTGGATTATTAAAAAAAAATCTCGTTCTACAGAATTCCAAGATTGAAGCACAAAGACAAACCCACGGTTTGATTTTCTGGAAATCTCTTGCAACATTTGTTACATCGTGTGGAATATTAAGCCGACATGAGAGACGGTTTGCGACGCCCCTTTCAAGCACCGATAAATACTTCTCCTACCGGTTTTTATCCATTAAGATGCGAGAAGCGCAAAGTGAGAGAGAGAGAGAGAGAGAAAAGAAATTTGCAAATAAAGAAGATGAAAATTTTTTTACGCCACTTAGATTACGTGACAAACTTTCATGGCTGTATAATCTGCATAAAAATCGTTCCGGAAATAACGTCCCGCATGTCATTTCCAGGATATGTTATGAACTGTGAAGTCAAGATATGCGTCAAAATATAATTTATTTGTCATCTGAGAGCCACAAGAAATAATAAAATGTTCATTTTCTCTTTTGAAACAATATTTACATTAAAAATTTACATATCTACAAAAAAAAAACCCAATGACAATTGTTTTTTTTTTTTTGTTCTTTGAAAAAAATCGTATTCTGTATCACATTTTTGATGCATCCTTTCATATATATTATATATATTCTCAAAAAAGGAAAAAATTCTTTTTGAATATAATTTATTTATTTCTACATGTATAGTTTATTATTTTACAAAAAAAAGGAAAATTTTGCATTTTTATTACTTTAAATGTCACATATATAAAATTAAAAGAAAAATCCTCTAAACTTAAGAGGAAATCCAGTAAATATAAAGTATTAAATAATTATTTAGACATAGATATTTCAATAATTTAGTGGCATTAAAATTGTTCATATTTATTATTTTTTTCAATTAATTTAATTTTTTTTATAATTACTGAATTATTTATGAAATTTTTAATTAATAAAATAAATTATTTATCAAATTGTTTATTAATAATTGACAATAATAAATTATAAAAATTCTATTTGATTTATTAAAATTTTAGTATATAAAGGACAATCATGTGAAATGTACACTTTAGAAAATGACGAGTTTGATATTCTGTGCCAAGCAGCGCGTTACAAAACACATTGCTTGGCGCGATAACATAATCTTTGCTTAACTAGCAACTACCAACGAGAATTCAAAATGAGAACTTCATCAGTTTTCTCAAAGCATTGCGATAATTAATTGTAACTTCAATTCACACGAACTTAAATTATTATTCATCTCAAAAAATTTAAGTCTCTAATTGTTCTCAATTGACTCAAATTCAACGTCATTAATAATAATAATAATAATAATAATAATAATAATAATATTAAATTTAATGATTAATTAATTAATTTTAAATATTAGTTATAATTAAAATTAATTTATATATAATATAATAAATATTATTCTTCAGGAATACTGGATCAAACACATTTTTTATTCAAATTAATATATAATAATAATAATAATTAATTAATTAATTAATTAATTCATACTATTTCATACACATCCATTAAAAGAAAGTATAATCTCCATTTTAGCCGATTCCTTTCAAATTGATGAAACTATTTCGCATTTAGAAAATTTCCACTTGATTTAAGGGGATAAATTAATGTACAGTCAATTTTAAATAATCGAAACTCTAAGTCACGAAAAATTATATTTTAATATTGATATTTGATATTAACTTGATATTTGATATTTTCAAGAAAAATATTCTTATTTTTGAAAAGTTAAATTAATAAATTATCATAGAAGATGGAATTTCCCTCTTAATATGAGATTACTTTTTCTCTAAACGAAATAGATATAATTAATATTATTAATAGATATTATTAAATCTATTACGAGAGCAATGCAAAAATAATAAAAATATAAAAATAAATCTAAAAAAGAAATGCAAGAAATAAGAAAATGAAAAGCAAAAAAAATGTAGAAACAATGATAAAAAAATAAATGTATAAATCATTAATCATGAAAAATGTTACATATTCAAAATGTGATAACAGAAAATTATTTTTACTTTGAAATTCCAAATCTTTTTAATTTCAATTTTAAAAAATTTACATTGTTAAATTAACTATAAAGAAGATGAAAAATAATCGCTTATAATTTATTTAAATTTACTCCTTATTTCATTAATTTATATATTCATTCAATATTTATTTTTTATCGTTAAAGGTATAACTTAAATTTAATAAAATTATATATAAATTATAAATTCATCTAACTACTAATTTTCATGAAATTAAATTTCTTTATTAATTACTAATTATAATGAGTATAATTAATAAGAATTTAGATTGAACAATTTTTTTTTCAAATATTATTAATTTGAGAAAAAATGAATTGGTGTCGACATCTGTCGGAGAATGGTCGCAACTTCTTAATGAAGTAATTATTATCTTTGGATAATAAAGAAGAATATCAAATGGCGCCAACATTTTATGTATATATGTATATATAATATTCGTCAAGCTGAATATTTAGATGATTAAATAAATAATTAATTTTTTAATCGACTCTAACTATAATTTGCATTAGGTTGTGTATCTATTTAACCTTAATTGAATTGTGGAAATGAAATTTGTAATGGAAATTGTGTTTGTTATTTTTATTATTGTCTAAAAGTTTTAAACTTCGAATTTTTTTTATATTCTCTCTGCAAATGAAGAAAATATCTAAATTTAAATAGTTTCAGATATTGAAATCTTGTTAGTAAAAAAAAAGATTCCATTTAATAGTAAGAAAAAAAATGAATATAAATAAAATATATTAATTAAAACATTTTAGAATTAAATTGAAAGATATATTTTTTTAAATATTTTGAAAAATTATTCGAAAAATATTAAGTTATTTTCTTTTATTTGTCACTTTATTTAAAATATTATAATTTATGCAAAAATAAAATTAATCTAATTTATATTATAATTGATACGATATTCGAATATTTGATAAAAAAAAAAAATTTTTATCTCAAATTTCACTTTATATCATAAACAATGCAATCTTCATAATTAGCAAATAATGTAATTATTGCCTCTAATTATTAATACGACAATTTTATTACAGTTATAGTGATAAGAAGTATAGATATTACTTAAAATATTACTCTCCTATCATTATTAATTTCATTCATAATTTATCTTCAATTTTAATTCTATAAAATTTATTTAAAATTTCATAACTTACATTAATTAATTAAATTAATTAATAAAAACAAATTTAATTAAAGGTGAAATAATTTTCTATTTAATTTTTTGTAAATAGAATTTATTTTTCATAAATAATTTTTTCATAAAAAATATTGTGAATATTACATCATTTTTAACAAAAATAGCTCAATTTTGTGAATTTTTTTTTCTTTATTTTATTGCCTGCTAAAGGAGATTGGAATTCAGTGTCGTCCCTGAGGCCAGGTATATCTATCAGTCTAAAAACATCAGGCACAAACCCATACATGTCAACTGGAAGTAGTCTCGTTTTTTGAATCATCTCAGTGTGTCAGTCAGTGTTGTCTCTTCAAAAGATAAACTAAGGAGGTTTCAAAAATATGGCGCTTTTAATCAAAATTGCCCAATTAGAGGTGCGTTCAAAATTGTCAAGAATATTTTCAATTTGTTTAATTATTTTCAATTTAACTATTCTGTAAAGATTTACTCAATGTAAAAAGATCGATACACTGTATATAATGTAAAAAAAAAAAATATCATTCTCAAGCAAGAAAAAATTTATTTAAAAAACAAAATTTTTTTTAAATTCTCTTTTTCTTAACCTTTTATTCCATTTATATCGAAAAATATAATATTATTAAATTTTTAATTGAAAATATTGAAAATTTACTTAAATAATAATAAAAATTAATAATAAATAATTTTTTTTTAATACACAAAAGAATAACAATAAATGATAATTTGTTCCTTGAAGTTCAATTATAAAATTTTTATAAAGTATCAAACACAAGAAATTGGCTTTTTTAAAAAAAAAAATTGCAATATGAATATATGTTAATTTTTAAACTGTTATTTGATATTCATATATGTATTTTAATTCAGGGACGAGGGTTTTAAGATTTGATTAATCGCATCTCTTACAATCAGTATATAAAGATTTCAATCATCGTTTCATTCAAAGATCAAAAATACTTTCTCAAAAAATATTTTAATGAACACTTTGTTTTAAATAATCAAATAGATTAGTTTTAAAAAATAATTTTTTTTAAATTGAAATTTTCTTTTTTCTTCTTATTATATAAAAATACAATTTATTTTGATGAAAGAATTTCTTTTTTTAATCTGTGCAAAATATTCATTTTATGCAATTAAATGCACAAATTTAAATATTGTTTTTTAAATTGCAAATTTTTCGCAAAACTTTAAGTGTAACCTATATTTTGAAAATTCCTGAAAAAATAAATTCCTTTAAGCTTCTATATATTGTTAAATATTTTATTTTAAAATTCTTATCGCCCCTGGATATAATGTAAAAATATATTTTCGTTAAGCAATGTGATAAATCTCTGAATAATAATTATTATTATCTTTCGAGAAAAACCATTCGATACTTAGATGTACATATAAAAAATTTATATTACGCGCGTTATAATGTAATAGTACAAAATTGTGTAATTTAATTATTGAAGTAATCGATATTTTCTCGAATATTTATATATCATCAAAAACATATATATATTTAATAATAAGTGCATGAATAATTTCCGAAGTAATCCGAATATTATTGTTGAATTTTTATCATTGGCATATTATTTTTGTTTAAGAGGAAATTTTTCTTTTTGCGTAACATCAGTTTAGAGTAGAACAAACAAAACTGGTTCGATGGCTCTTGATTATACGCACAAATGGCAGTGCAAAAATAACTGCAAATGAGAAACAATCAATTTCTATTTAACGTTATTCAAATTAAATATATATATATATAGAAAGAATTTTTTTTTTTCATAATTTTTAAAGAATTTAAAAAAAAATTTGCAAGTGTGACTAAAAATGAAAAGTGTTCAGTTTTTAACCAATGGTTTACAAGTAAAAAAAAGTTTTTCGTTATATGTAATTTTATTTCATTATATTAATAAAATCAAAGTAAAAAATTATTGAATTTTTTTGGTACTAATTTAAAATTGACCTAATTTATTTTGAAGATATTAATCTAGTTAGACACTTCGAAAAAAAATTATTTGATTCAAATAATGCTTGACTATTATCAAATAAATATTTATTTGAACCAAATAAATTGTATTTGAACTATAATAATTTTTGTATTTGATACAAATAAAATTTAGTTGACAAAAAAATTATTTGGTTCATGGAAATATTTATTTGATAATAGAGAATAATTGATTATTTGACTCAAATAATTTTTTTTTTTTGCAATGAATTAATTTCGTCTTAAAATTTATAGCAAATTTTTGAAAAAATTTTTTTTTTACAGACGAGAATGTCAGCCAGAGCCTATGGATCTTCTGCTCCGGCTGTAAAAATGTTTATCGATGGACAATTCGTTGGTATGGCCTACTTTTTTTTCAAATCCAACATTCACTTTTTAAATAATTGACTCCTTTTTTAAATTATACTTCAAAAAATAAAAAAAATATTTTTAATGAAATTTTCTTCTTTTTTTTTATCAAACTTTTAGATTCAAAAAGCACAGAATTTACAGACGTTCACGATCCCGCCACAAATGAATTAATTTCCCGAACACCAAAATGCACGAAAGAAGAAATGGAAAGTGCAGTTGAAAGTGCAAAAAATGCCTATCACAAATGGAAAAATACCAGCGTTCTTACGAGGCAAACTTTAATGCTCAAATATCAAGCACTAATTCGAGAGCATTCGGTTAGCTTCCAATGCTACAATTTTTTAATTTTTTTTTTGATAATTAAATTTTCAATTAAAAAATTTTTGCACTGCAAAATTTTAGAATAAAATGATTTTTTTTTCTACAGAAAGAAATTGCTGCAAATTTGGTGAGAGAAAATGGTAAAACAATGGCCGACGCTGAAGGAGATGTTTTAAGAGGACTCCGTAAGTTAAAATAAATAATAAATTAATTTTTTCTTCTTATAGCTCAAAAATAATAAATTGAGAAAATTATTTATCTCTAATTACGCAAATTAATTAATTATTATTAATTAAGAATTTAATTTTTTTTCTTCTCTTCAAATGCAGAGGTTGTAGATGCGTGTACAGCAATTCCATCCCTTCTCTTGGGTGAATCAATGCAAAATATTGCAACTGATATGGATACAATTTCATATAAAGTTCCATTAGGTGTGACAGCATCAATTTGTCCATTCAATTTTCCAGCAATGATTCCACTTTGGTCGTTTCCAATTACAATTGCTTGTGGTAATGCAGCAATTTTAAAACCATCCGAAAGAGTACCAGGAGCGTCAATGATATTGGCGGATCTTTTCAACAAGGCCGGAGCACCAGCAGGACTTTTAAATATTATTCATGGACAACATCAATCGGTTGATTTTATTTGTCAACATCCGGATATTAAAGCCGTCTCCTTTGTTGGCTCTGATCAAGCAGTGAGTTTAATTCATGATTAAATAACAAACACTGAAAAAAATGTTGCCGAGAAATTCAACTACCATTGGGTAGTTGACTAGAAAGTAGTTAAAATAACTACTTTTTTAATTAATCTAATCATGTTGATGTAGTTAATGTAACTATTTTTTAAAAGTTAATAGTTGATTTTACGGAAATATGTAGTTAAAGTACAACTACAGGTTGGTAGTAAAATTAACTTTCTTAAGGTAGTAAAAACAAGTGGAATTGTAGTCAACTCAAAATTTGAAGAGTAGTAAATCCAACTACTATTCACCAGTTATATGAAATGTAGTAAAAGGAATTATTTTCTTTAATTAATATAACTGCTTTTTGAGTAGTCAATTTTTTATTAATTTCTATGATTTTATAGGCTTCAATAAAATTCTCGTTGTAGAATTAACAAGTCGTCTGTAATTAAAACTACTACTTTAAGTAGTAGATTTTTACTATTTTAATTAATTCGATAAACTTAAAGAAGATTTTTGATGTAGAATTTACAAATCGTTTCCAGTACTACACTACTACTTTAAGTAGTAGATTTTACTGCACTATGCAATTAAACAACTTATAATATAATTAAAAGATGAAAAATTTACAAGTCAAAACTTAAAAAGGATAGTTATAGCAACTAATAAAAGTAGTAAAGATGACTACTTTAAATAGTGAAACTACCAATTGGACAAGCAGAAAGTAGTCTTCGAGTAGTTTGCAGACTGTCGTAGCGAGCGTTAGGGTCGAGGGTTCAATTCCCGTCGGTTAGAAATTTTCTCTGTTAAGTATACATAATCGTTAGGGCATAAAATAAGTGTCAGTATAGGAGAGAGGATGAAAAAGTCAATTCTACTAAGGGGTCATCCATAAAGCATGTGATACATTTTTTCATAATTTTAACACCCCCTCCCCCTTGTGATGCTTTGTCCAATACCGATTAATATGGAGTGTGATATTTTGCTGACCCCCCCCTACCCCCTAAAGTATCACATGCTTTATGGATGACAACTAATTATAAATAAAAAATAATTTTATTTTCCTATTTTAAGTAGTAAAATCTACTATATAAAGTAGTAGTTTCAATTGCAAAAGATTTATTAATTCTACAAAAAAATGTTCTTAAAGCCTATTAAACCACTTGCAGTAGTAAAGTTTACTACTTGAAGTACCCGTGGAGAAGTTTCCCTACGTTTCCTTATCGAAAACTAAAATTTGGTAAGTTTCTGATAGGGAAAAATGCAGAATTCTGGTTAGGTCCTGACGTTTTTGGTGACGCTTGTTTTTCTCAAAAATAAGTTTTAATGGTTAATAGTGAGAAGAATAACAAGAACCCTACGATTGCCCTTTGAGAACTTTCAATTTAACTTTTATATAACTTTCAATTTTTGATTAATTATAATTTCAGGTTATATTACTATATTATTCTTTACAAAAAATATAATTAAACTGTAAAAAGAAAATTTGTAGTTTATATAATTCATTAGAAAATATAATGAATTTAAATTATTAAGAATGTGAAAATAATTTTAAATATATGTATAGCAATCAATTCGAAGATATTAAAAAATAAAAATGTCTTATTTAATGGTAAAATCTCCTTGAACTTTGAGAAATTATTTTGTATGATGTTTTTGTAATACAAAAATTATTTTATTAAACGTTAATATATTACCATATATTAACTATTTAAAATATTTTAATCCCAAAAATACAATTTTTTAAAAAAATTATTAATATACTCTGGCACATGATAACAAAACCTTTTACTATTTTTGAGTTGTCAAAATCTGCGCAGAATAAATTTATATGTGAAATCACAAAAACAAACAGAAGATGTTTTCCCGACAAAAATTGATTTTAATTAATCATATTATTCTATTTGCTGCTCTTTTTTTAAGGCCTACCCTTATAATGTTATTTTTGTTGGTTAACAAATATATATGACAGTCATAATTTTATAAATAAAAAATAGTATATATCAAAAAAAACATTAAGGTGAGATTTTTAATATTTTCTTGACGAAAACAATAAAATATTTTGTTTATAATTTTCTCTTTTACAAATTATTGATCGAAAAATTAAGTAAAATAGTTTTTATGCAAAAATATGTAAACATTTAAATAGAAATATTGTTCTTGTAGGGTTCTCACTATTGGGTACTATGAATCATTTTTATAAAAAATCAAGCGTCACAAGAAACCTCTGGGCCTAATCAGAAATCCGCATTTTTCCACTTAGAATCATATAACACGGTACCCTGGAACCAATCTCAACCCTCAACATTCTCCCTTTCAAAAATTCCTGTTGCAACTTGTTCGGGGTACCTCACTGAATATTTTCCAACAAGAAAAATCAAAATCCGTCGGGCGCTTTTTTTTTAATTTCAATTTTTGTGATTTTAGCGCCAAATTAAAAAAAACTGGTTTTTATAATTATTTAAAGTAAAATTCAACTTCACATGGTCAAATTTTGTTCAAGAAATTATACAAAATCATAATTCCGGTAGAAATTTTTCTGTAGAATCGAAATCTGACATTGGCTTTCGAATTTAAAGCAGAGGAATCCCAAAAAATCCGGAAAACTGTAAATATTCTAAACGCAATTTCACTGTCGTTTTTTTCAAGTTTTCTGTGTCTAAATTTTTTTTCTGTATTAAACACATACCCTAGATTTTGTTAACTTTTAAATTCAAAATTTTAATCACTGACAAAAAAATGTTCATTCTATAATATTTTGTTTTGTAAATTTGAAAATTTTTATAAAATTTGACAGACAATTTGGAAAAAACGACGCTACGATGAGATTGTTTTTAGAATATTTACAGTTTTCCGGATTTTCTGGGATTCCTCTGCTTTAAATTCGAAAGCCAATGTCAGATTTCGATTCTACAGAAAATTTTTTACCGTAATTATGATTTTGTATAATTTCTTGAACAAAATTTGACCATGTGAAGTTGAATTTTACTTTAAATAATTATAAAACCCAGTTTTTTTTTAATTTGGCGCTAAAATCACAAAAATTAAAATTAAAAAAAAAGCGCCCGACGGATTTTGATTTTTCTTGATGGAAAATATTCAGTGAGGTACCCCGAATAAGTTGCAACAGGAATTTTTGAAAGGGAGAATGTTGAGGGTTGAGATTGGTTCCAGGGTACCGTGATAAGTAATAGGGAAATAATACAAGGTCCTTACGATTTCCCTATTTAAGTTTCTCCTCGGGTAGTAGTTTCAATTGCAAAATATTTATTAAATGTACCAAAAAAATGTTCTTAAAGCCTATTGAACCACTTTAAGTAGTAAAATCTACTACTTACATCTTGAGTTGTTTTAAAATTTTTAAATTGAGTTAATACAATCACAAAATGTCATTCTACCAATTACATTTTTAATTGGTTTAACTATTTTTATATAGTTAATAGAACCGTTTAAATTTAGTTGAGGACCTATTATACTACTCAGAGTAGTTAAAAAGTAGTAAAAACTACTAGTTTTTTTTTCAGTGATATATTTGAGACAAAATTGTTTTTGTTATTGAATTGATAAATTTTGCCCCATATATATACCTATATATATATGAGGCATTTCATTTGAAAACGATCAGTCATGTCATAGATTTTTTTAATATTTCGTTTTTTTGTATTGTTTGGGGACTTAAATAAGTGTGCAAAATTTTAATTAAAAATCTTAAGTATTTTTCAAGTTATTTACATTAACAAATTTAAGACACTTTTTTTTCTTTTCAGTATAACTTTTTCATTTTTCTTTGTACAGAAAAATGTTTTAAATGTTTTTTCTTTAAAAATTATTGAATTTTAAAAAAATGATTTTTATTTTTAATATTTTATAATTTTTATATTATTTATTTAAAAAAAAAATTTTTTTATTAATGTTTAAACCTGTTATCGGGCTAATTTCGATCTAAAAAAAATCATGAATATTCTTCAATATTATACAAATCACATATTAAAATTTGGTGAATGCATTATTTTTTGTTCTCGAGAAAAAAATTTTTGAAATTTACCGTGCATGGCTCTAGCAGTCGCATCGGTCAGCGCTTGGGTTAGATCCCATGCTGCGCGCCGATAGAGCCATGCACGGTAAATTTCTTTTCACTATAACTTTTTCATTTTTCTTTGTACAGAAAAGTGTTTTAAATGTTTTTTCTTCAAAAATTATTGAATTTTAAGAAAATGATTTTTATTTTTAATATTTTATAATTTTTATATTATTTATTTAAAAAAAAATTTTTTTTATTAATGTTTAAACCTGTTATCGGGCTAATTTTGATCTAAAAAAAATCATGAATATTCTTTAATATTATACAAATTACATATTAAAATTTGGTGAATGCATTATGTTTTGTTCTCGAGAAAAATTTTTTTGAAATTTACCGTGCATGGCTCTATCGGCGCGCAGCATGGGATCTAACCCAAGCGCTGACCGATGCGACTGCTAGAGCCATGCACGGTAAATTTCAAAAATTTTTTTCTCGAGAACAAAAAATAATGCATTCACCAAATTTTAATATGTGATTTGTATAATATTGAAGAATATTCATGATTTTTTTTAGATCGAAATTAGCCCGATAACAGGTTTAAACATTAATAAAAAAATTTTTTTTTTAAATAAATAATATAAAAATTATAAAATATTAAAAATAAAAATCATTTTCTTAAAATTCAATAATTTTTAAAGAAAAAACATTTAAAGCATTTTTCTGTACAAAGAAAAATGAAAAAGTTATAGTGAAAAGAAAAAAAAGTGTCTTAAATTTGTTAATGTAAATAACTTGAAAAAAACTTAAGATTTTTAATTAAAATTTTGCACACTTATTTAAGTCCCCAAACAATACAAAAAAACGAAATATTAAAAAAATCTATGACATGACTGATCGTTTTCAAATGAAATGCCTCATATATGATTAATCGTAAATATTTTGTTTTTATATTTATAGGGAGAGTATATTTATAAGCAAGCGAACGCTCATGGAAAACGAGTCCAATGTAATATGGGAGCAAAAAATCATTGTGTAGTGATGCCGGATGCTAATAAAAATAAGACAATATCACAAATCGCAGGTGCAGCATTTGGTGCTGCTGGCCAACGTTGTATGGCACTATCCGTTGCAATTTTTGTTGGCAAGTCAGAAGAATGGATATCGGAATTGGTTGATGCTGCAAAAAGATTAAAGGTAAACGCAGGTCACATTCCGGGTGCGGATCTTGGTCCAGTTATTTCGCCACAATCCAAAAAGAGAATATGCGAACTCGTGGAATCTGGAGTTAAAGAAGGTGCAGGTCTACCACTCGATGGTAGAAATATTGTTGTGTCGGGCTTTGAAAATGGAAATTTCGTTGGACCCACTGTTCTCACAAATGTTAAGGTATAAAATATTTATATTCATTAAATTATAAATACAGTAATAAAAATAATTTTCGAATACTAAATTATAATACTAAATTTTTTTAAATCAAAGGAAATAATGTTAAATTTTTCTTTAGGCTTCTATGCGTTGTTACACTGAAGAAATATTTGGACCAGTTTTGGTTTGCATGAATGCAAATACTTTGGATGAGGCAATTAATATTATTAATGCAAGTAAATATGGAAATGGAACGGCAATTTTCACGACGAACGGTGCCACAGCGAGATCATACGTTAATAGAATTGAAGCTGGTCAAGTTGGTGTTAATGTTCCTATCCCTGTGCCATTGCCTATGTTTAGTTTCACTGGAAATAAAGGTTCTTTCCTTGGTGACAATCACTTCTATGGAAAATATGTAAGAATTTTTATATTATTACTTCATAAACAGTGAGAAAAAAAGATTTTCTCATTTTAAAATATTAATGATAACTTTAAATGATTATTATTTAATTTAATATTTAACAATATTATTAATACCGTGTTAAAATTTTTTAAATATTTCAAAAATTTATATACATAACTTTACTATACACAAGCTATAAAAAGATAGCTATAAAAAGAAATATTTGGCAATGCTTCAAAATTTATTTAGTTGAAAATTTTAAAAATATAACGCTGTTTAGTACATTTTTCCTAAATAGTAAATTTTTTTTAAAATAGAGGTTGATAATTATTTTCTTAAAGTGTATAAAATATCTTTAAAGGTAAAATTAATTTGAAAAATTTTTCTTTTTATTTTTTATAGGGTGTCAATTTTCATACTCAAACGAAAACTATTACACAATTATGGAGAAGTGGAGATGCAACTGACATTACCTCATCAACTGCAATGCCTACAATGCAATAGTATAATTTTAATTAAAAAAAAGAAGGAAAAAAAACCGAAGAGAATGAAAAATAGCTTTTTAAACAAATTTCTGGTTAGGTTACAATTAACATTACATTCTAGTTAAGCTAACCAGAATTCTGGTTAAATTAACTAGAATTCTAGTTGAAATAACCAAAATTCTGATTATTCCAACCAGAATTTTTTTCCAGTATACTTTACGTTTAACGGCTATATTATACAAAAAAAAGTCAACGAATTTAGTATTACAATCGTTATGCATAAATAGTTATATTTTTTCTTTCAAAGATAAAGGAGACAATAATTTTTCAATAGAGAATATATAAGAAAGTTAGCGTATGATAGTTGATTTATTTTTTTACATTATTTATGAAAATAAAAATTTACTGCTTTTTTTTTGTTATTATTTATTACTTTGTTTATATTTATGATAATATTTTGATTTCCATTTGAATATACAAGTAAATTTTCTTATATATTTTTTCATTAAAAAAAAAAAAAAAATTATTGATTCTTTCATATTGAAAAGCAGAAAACCAGAACTGCGCTAAAAATATAAATTCACACGAAATCTGCGAAGAAACAAATTTACAACGATGACTATTTATAAATTTTTAAATATATTCACATCAAGAAATTAACAAATTATCTACATTCACAAATTATGAAACAAAAGTTGATTAAGCATTTTTCTTTCATGAAAATGTACACTCATCATGCAATGTCTTCCATTATTTATAACAGTGGCAAATGTGGCAAAATGCCACATTAAAACAATTTATATTTGAGTCTAGTAATGAACAATAACTAAAAAAACAAGTTAATGTTTTTTAATTAAAATCTATTATAAAATACAAAAATTGAAAAAATAATGCAAATCTTTTTCAAAAATGTCAAAAGTATTTTTTAAAATTAAATTAGAATTAATTTGACATATATTAATAAGTGTTCTTTAATTAATTACAAATTTTGAATTTATATATAAATATAATTTATTATTAGACTCAAAATTTCTTGTTGAAAAAAAAAATCACAGTACAAAGATAAAGAGAATTACAGATACAAAATGTTTTTTATATACAAAATAATATACAATTTTAAAAGGCTGAGTTACATTTTTTTATATAAATATAGATAAATAATATTAAATATATGTAAGAAAAACACATGAAAAAAAATAGTTGTTAAAAATAAAAGAAGATGAAATATTTTAAGGAAGTAAAAAAAAAAAAACAAGAGAGAACATGAACATAATTGTTGAAATATGAAAAAAAAAATATTTTCATAAATAAATAAAAGAAAAAATAATTTGACAGCTAAATGAAGAGAAAAAGAACATAAAATATTTTTAAAATGTAATTAAACGATATTGTATATAAAAGTTATAAAAAGAATAAAAATAAAATATTTTTTAAACAATGTAAAAATAATTAAGGTAAATGTACACAATTACGGCATGTTAAGGCCCTTCCTGAGAATTTTATTTTTCTTATTTTATCAAGTAACTTAAAATTTAAGAAAACAATTGTATTGTAAAAATTAATCAATCATTTTCAATTTTTCATTTTATATATCTGTTCAAAAATTAAATTTATATTATTTTTTAATATTTTTTAAATCCTTTCAATTGTATGTAATTCCGTTTTAAAAATATTGTCATGTAACTAATTCCGTTCCAACTTGTCCATAATTGCGGCATATTCCAGGTTTTCACACATACTTATATATAAAATATCAATTTGTTTGATAATAATTATTCTTATAAGAATATTAATAACATAATCTTAAAATTAGTTTAAGATTGTGTTTAAAAGGGAATTTTTTACACAGATGTCAAATAAAATAATGTTTATTCAAATGATAATTTTTGTAATATTCAGTCATTATTTTTCTTCTTTGGTTACTCGCTTTGGTCATTAACTTGTTTTGAAATAATATTATAAATCATTAAACATGTATACTTTACGGTCATCAAATAATACTAGAGGATTCAGTTTTTTTAAAACATCTTGAGCATCGTAGATGAGGATATCGTCTCTATCAAGCCAGCGCCAGTTTGTCCCACTCATTTGATTAATTTTTAATTGATATTTTTTCACATTTTGCTTGAATTATTTTCGTGACAATACCTAATAATTCTTATAAAAAACGATACTTTTAAAAATTTGCCTCTTGAAATGATAATTAATAAGTTTAAAATTAAAGAATTGTGAACAAACTCTTTTTCCATTTTACTTAAACTTAAATACGGCGTATAGCACGGAATAATGAATGTATGTATAAAATGTTTTGAACCTAATTCCGTTCATATAATTTTAACAAAATATTTCAAATATGGTTAATAAAATACTAGTACGCAATTACCTCATTTGTTTATTTATAATTTTATTTTTTGTTAAAAAATGTAAACACATTTAATATTCTTATTAGATTCATTAAAATAAGTATAATATAAAACAATGTAATTCCCTATTTACGTGTTTCAAACGGAATAATGTACTTCGTGTGAGAAGAGCGAACATAATTCCGTCTATTTAAAAAAGTATTTTTATATAAAGAAAACTTTTAAAAATAATTCAGCAATAGAAAATATAATTTAAATAGATCATAATTAATCAACAAATTAAAAAATAAATTAAAAAATAAACACACTTCACTTTTAATATCCTTACGAAGATCACCTTCAGTCCTAGCTGTCACTTACAGTATATTGTATTGCACAAAGCTCAGTCGTCGACTGACTGACAAAAACTTTTATTTTCAATACATAAACAAAATAGATGTAATTAAAACACAGAATATTGATCTAATAAATAGCAAAGTTTGTGTTGCAATTTTTCACTTGTTGAAACATTTTATCAATTTCTTATTTCAATTAGTATAAAGAAATAGCACGTAATAACGTACTAGGCCGTAATTGTGTACGTTTACCTTAAAAAATTTTTTTATGTAAGAAACCAAATTGAAAATTATAATTTATTTAGAAAAAAATTGTTTTAGAATTTTATTTAAATTATATATACAAAAAGTAAACTTTATTCTAAACAAGAAAATCATTGACAAAAAAATTTATTTTACATATTTTTAATTGTATAATTAAATGTAAACAAAATTTCAAACAAAAAAAATATATATATATATATTATTTGAAAACAAGTTCATATCATAATAATATATGGAAAATTGGGGTGCGCATGCGAAGTAAATTTCACCCTTTAACACGCAACTGCGCGTTTTTCTAAGGCAACCCCTTAGGTTTTACTTGTCCCGGATTATTGCTCCGGTACAGCTTGCCCGGAAGAGGAAACGAGGGGAAAAAAAAAGTATATACAAATTATCGTCATCCTCAATTGTCACACAGACAAACACATACATACACACAAGTAAGTACTTGCAATAATATTCTTCATTCACTATAATGAACAAATTATTTCAATACGATCAATAAAACTAAGGTAGAAAATTATAATATTGAAAATTATTCTTCTTCCAACGTGAGAAACCGTTTTACCTTTAGTAATATAAATGTCAAACTACTTTAGTATCACAATATTGTTTTTACTTGAAAAACAAAAAAAAAAAAGAATTTAAAACAAAAATTTGATTTCTGCAAATAAAATATTAAATTATATTTTTTAAAAATATAAAAATAATATAAATTGAAAAGAGAAAACCTTTGAAAAATCGATTCTAAAGTTTCTCTCATGGGAGAATAATATCTAAGCTTTCAGCTCGATTGCATTTCGATTTTATTGCTTAATAATTAGTTTTGTTGATATATTTTTAAACGTTAAATTTGGGCGTGGAAAATATTTTCCTCTTAACATTTTTGTTTTTTTTTATTATTTTTCAACGTAAATAGTATGTTTGGCTTTTTGGCAAATTTTTTTCTTTCAATATGCAGTGAAAAAAAAAATTATTTGATTCAAATAATAATCGGTTACTTGACTATTATCAAATAAATATTTACTTGAACTAAATAATTTTTATTTGAATTAAATATAAACTGTATTTGAACTAATAGTTTCTGTATTTTAAACAAATACCATTTAATTGACTTAAATAAAAATTATTTGGTTCAAGTAACCGATTATTTGAATCAAATAAATTTTTTTTTTTCAGTGTGTAATAATAATAATAATAATCATTATTATAATAAATGTAATGTTAAAATTTTTTACTTTTACAATTGTAATTTATAAAAAAGTTATTATTATAACTTTATTTATTGTATTTATTATTATTAATTAATTTATTATTTATTATTTATTGCGTAACAATTGTAATTTGCAAAAAATAAATAAATAATAGGGCTTAAAAATAAATAAATAAAAAAAGAGGAAAAATTTTATAATATCAATGTAATGCAAACTTTCTAAAGTATAAATAAAAATAGCTATTGCTGTTAAAAATTTGTTTATTTAAATAATATATGAAAAACTACTGATTGCTGAGAGGAATTTTTTTTTTCACTATAAAGTATATAAAAAAAATGTGGTATCGCACTTTTAAAGAACTAATAAAAATTTTCGTTACGTGCCTCACGGGTTTTTTTTTTCTTATTCGTAAGAATTGAACTTGAGAAGTGCAATAAACGTAAGAGTAAAAAAGATGAAGTGCAAGAGGAGGTACTCGTGTAACTATCCAACCAACTTTTTTTCTGTTTGAGTGTGAAGAGTTGTTTTTTCCTCTCTCTTTCTCTCTCTCTCGCTCTCTCCTCTTTTGCACACTCATTCATGAAGGGTGGTTTGAAAATCAACTTGAGTTTTACGTTCACGTTGCTTTCCATCTCTTAGTGGCTGTGCGATGCAATGAAAAGAGGAGTCTCTCAAAATTACACGGCGTGAATTCGTTAATTAAAGTCTATGTCAATCTTTTTTTTTTTTTTTTTTTTTTCCTCATCCATAGAGAAAAAAAAAATAATAAAAAACTAACCGCAAATGAATTCTTATGTCTGCGCGGATATTTTGCACATTTAAATTCTTTTATATTCATATTTAAATTCCAACAATTTCATACTAATTTAGCACATTTTTATGGTTTTAATCTTTTTTTTTTTTTTTAAATGCGAAAATTTTCAACGAAACCAAATGCAAAAAAAAAATCATTCATTATTTTAATATTTCCACTTTACATCAAAATATGTATTCTGTTTTATATTTTATTATTTTTGTTGTAAATACTTTTGTTTTACTGATATTTACTTTTTTTTATTGTTTTGTATAATTACTAATTTTTTAAAACTCATAATTTTTTTATTGTTATTACTTTTTTTTGAAATTATTTTTGTTCATTTTTTATTATTTTATAAACAAAATATTTTTTTAATTACTTTTGTTGTTCTATTGATATTTTTGTTTGTTTCTAAATTCAAGTTTAATTTTTTATTTTCTTTAGTTATATGTTGATAATAAAATTTGAAATATATTTTCAGAAATAAAAGGATATATAAAGTGAGACTATAAATTACTATCACTGTGAAAGTAAAAAGTGCATTAAATTGAGTTTATGATTTAAAAAATCGTTTTTCGTCAAGTCTTTTTTTAAAAATATCTATTCCAAATATCCTTGATATCTCAAATATTCTGAAAAAAAGTGCAAATGCTCTTTTTATGACAAGTAAGATATTAAAGTATATACATGACTCTCAATATATTATATGAAACTCAAACTCAAATAGAAAATCTTCTCAAAAATTCACCTTTCTTTCTCTCGTTAAATTTTTGTTTTTGTTTTTCTTTTTTTCAAAACTTGAATGAGTTTCTTTGAAAAAAAGCTTAAAAAGTTGCAAATTTTCATCTGTCGATAGCGAAAAGTATATAGGCAAATCATTGGCAAAGTGCGGGTCGTGTCTCTTTACATTTACTTTAGTTGAAACTTGAAGAAAACTCTTTTTGAGTTTTTACTTTTTAAAGCAGTTTCAAGATTGTGAACTTCTTCAGTTATTGAGGGCTTAGAATGTCTTTAGCTTTGCCTCAACTGTATAAATTTCAAAGAGTGTATTATTCTCAAATAAGCTGATTTGTAAACTCTTACTTTGACTTATTAAAATACTTCACAGAAAATTTCATTTATTTCATTTATACAGTGTGCTTAACAATCGAAAATTTAATTCATTTTCCAAATGCGCCTGATCAGCCGTGAAATTGGTAAATGAATTATACATATATATATAATAAAGTAGTAGCATCAATATTCACATGTTGATTTTGAATTACATTTAATTAATTATTCGATATATATATATATATTTTGTAATTATTTTATAATTAATTGAAAAAATTATTATACAATATAATTTAATTTGTTTATGTATATATCAATTTTAATTCCACTTTTGTACTATATTAAATAACAATTAGAAATTACTCTCTAAAGAATTAATGAGAATTCGTTCACTAATTTAAATTTTAATGAAGTAAATTACCAAAAGGAAATAATATATATATATATTAATGGGTGATTCTACAAACGAGGAAATTATGAGCGGTCAAGCTTATTTTGTATATTAATTTTGAAAAAAATAATTTTTTTTTTTAATGAAAATTGTAAATCTAAATGATTTCTATTGTGGCATGTCCCGCAGTGTAATTGACAGTTCATATTGTGAAAAAATATTATTTTTCAAGTGTTTGGCGAAAAATTCATACTGGATTAGTAATTTTGAATAGTTGTAATTATGACATTACTCTATACCTTATTTATAAAATATCTTCTTCAATTTTGTACCTGGATTTTGTTATCATTCGTCTGGCAGTTGAAAACACGTTAAAATTATTAAAAATCAACATTCTATTGAAGTTACAGTTCGTTATTGTTAATTACTTAAACTAAACTAAATGTGATACCACGCGCGTTTTATTTAATTTGTTATTCTATTAACCAAGATTTCTCAATTTGTGATCAAGATTGCGTTGTGACCAGACAAATTCTCATTCGTCTGGCATCAATTTTTTTGAAAAAAATATTATTTTTAGGTCTTTTTATAGGCTTATATATTGCAAATTTGAATTCTATATCGTATAGAATTGCTTATTTTTTTATTTAATGTTGTTTCTACCTTTAAAAAAAAAAAAACTGCCAAATTCTCATTCGTCTGGTTCTCATTCGTCTGGCACTTTTGAGACAGGATATACATTAAGTACTAAAAAAAACAGCGTAAAACTAATAATTTTTTAACTTTTTTCGATTTTCTTGACTTAAAATAATCCTCACTAAATTTTTAAGATATTGCTAAACTCCAATCTTTAATTTTCATTTTGTATATATAATTATATTAATATAAATAAACAAATAAAAAGTACTTTTTTCCTGTGAATCGTATGAATATCACAATAAAATCGAAATATTTTTTATTATTACACACTTAAAGTACTCCTACAGATTTGTGATTTGTAATAAATTAGGTTCTAGTAGAACACACGTAATTTGTTATAAACAAATTATATAAACAAATAACTAGTTAAACCGATACCTTTTAATGATCCTTGTAAAATTCTTTACTTGGGGGTCAGTTTTTCAAAATTCAAAATGGCGGACGACTTTTGAAAAACTTAATATACTTGTCTGAAAATAATTACTCGGGGGTTTTCGGGGTCGCTGATTACGAATCAGAGGTCAGTTTTTCAAAATTCGAAATGGCGGACAACTTTTGAAAAAACTTATTATATTCGTCTGAAGTAAGTAGTTTCCAGTGATTTTAAATATTTGTCCGCCATATTGGATCCGCCATTTTGAATTTTAAAAAAACTGACCTCGGATTCGTAATCAGCGACCCCAAAAACCCCCGAGTAGAGAGTTTCAAGCAAATCCAAACGATTTAAAAAAAAAAATTCCGCCATATTGGATCCGCCATTTTGAATTTTGAAAAACTGACCTCGGATTCGTAATCAGCGACCCCGAAAACCCCCGAGTAATAAATTTTGTATAAATTCATCCATTATTTTTTGTGTTAATGTGAATTTTCTATACACGATCTTAATTTCCTGGATAAATTGTTTTAAAACAACCATAACTTTTGTAATTTTTAATATTTTGTCTGGCCACTTTTTAGATATCTTTTTTAGTGTCATTAACTTGAAGTTAAAGTACTTTTCAGACCTTAAATGAGAAAAAAATGTTGTGTCCATATTTTCTTCATTTGATAATTAATTTTTTTTTATATCCGCTTTTTTTTAGATATAAACAAGATGTACAAAACAGTTCGCAAGGGAGATGCAAGTCTTCAGTATACAATACTTCCTCAGACGGATCAATTTACTTCGAGTGGACTGCCACAGCAATCGGTTCGAAAAAGTAAATTGAAAGTGGCAAAATACACCATTTTCTTGATCCTATTCATCCTCTCATGCATTGTCACACCGTTCTTAATTAATCAAAATGAAAGGAACATTTTTTTCAATAGTATGTTATCAGTGGGAAGGACCTCACATCAAAATCACATTAGAAATTCAACAACAATAACAACAACAACAACAACAGCATCGTCAAATAATGATCTTTCATACGATGAGGCAAATACAAATCGAGAAATGAGTTTAATTGTTTCAAAAATTTTTTCCAAATTGGATGCTTCTAGAGAAAGAAATTCCATTGAAGAATCTTCCACTCAATCGGAGAATTCTCGAAGTATCATCGATAGACAAGATCCCGATCTCTCAATATCTGGTAAATTATTTCTTTTAGCAAAAAAAAGAAACTATTGGAAAAAATTTGATATATAATATACGAGGGGCTGTTCACTGAAAATCCAATTGAACAATATTGGAGAATTCATTAAAGATTTTTAGGACTCGTACGTATTCGGCTTCGGATTCGAATGGAATCGCACGGACTCGTTGATATTCACAGTATTTTCACAAATTCCTTCTTTGCGCTGCTTCGTGTTGCAGACTAGATAATAATAATAATAATAATAATAATAATAATAATAATAATAATAATTATAATCGGCTGCCGCCGAATTCGCTCGTATTTCTCCGTAACCATTCGTGACTCGCAACAATTCTTACTGCATGACTTAGGATTTTACTGTAATCGACGAGATTTGTTGGATTCGCATAGTATTCGACAAATTCGAACGTCCTTTTCAGTAATCGCCGGTAATCTCCACTTAAAATACAATTTATTCAGAATCAAGAAATTTATATTTTCTTATGTTAATTGATGAATATTCGGAAGATACCTAGTATATTCTCTACATTACAAATCGGGTATTTGAGAGTGAACAGCCCCTCGATAATATAAAAAAATTTTTGTTTTTTCTAGAGATAAATGTAGTGTCAAATCGACCACCACCGATTCCCACGACAACATTCACGACAAATTTTCGAAAAAGTTTATATTCCACGATGCCATTGACATCGTCATCAATTGTGTCGTTGTCATCGATTTCATCAATGTCATCACCGGCACCAATTTCATCACTAAGTTCATCGACCTTTGCATCATCATCATTAGAATTAAAATCATCAATAGTGACGGGAATGCCATTCAAACCAAAAATGCCAAGAGTGACATTAAAATTACGTGAAAATGAAACGATACCACAAATGTATATGAAAGCTGGAATTGCATCTTATAAAAAGGGAAATATCACGACCAGTGTTTTAGCGCGTGGATTAAGTTTAGAGGGTTTGATTTTCAAAACTCCAGAGGGGACAATTAAACCATGGCCACAAAAATGGCCCTTTGAATGGTTGCCATCCGATCCACGGTGGAAGGTGAGTTATTCAATATTTTTCTTCATTTCAATCATAACACAGGCAAACAAAAAATAAAAAGTGGTTTGGCCGAAACACTACACTAGTCTATTCCCATATAATTTTTTCTCGCTGAATCCGAATCCGAAGTCAGAATTGTTAGATTGGTTTTTATTTTTGAGATAAACTCAAAAAACTCCTCAGAAAGAAAAATAAAATCAAAAAAAGTGAACAAAATTTTTAAATGACACTGAGCTAGTGTAATTCCATGTATATTTTTTGCCACTGAATCCGAATTCAAAGTCAGAATTGTTAGATTCGCTCAAAGTTTTGAGATAATTGCAAAAAACTTTAAATCAGTTTTTTGGAATTATCTTTAAAATTTGAGCCAATCTGGCAATTCTGACTTCGAATTCGGATTCAGCAGAAAAAAATACAAAGAAATCACTGCAAAAAGAAGTATCTTATTATAAGACACATTGGAAACAAGTTACCAAAAGTATCTTCCTATCTATCTTATATCTTAAGAAACGCATTTTAAGATGTTTTTGATAACTTAGAAGCAATTTGTAAAAAACATCTTAAAAAGGCGACCAAAACATCTTAAAATAAATAATAATAATTAATAATAATAATAATAATAATAATAATAATAATAATAATAATAATAATAATAATAATTAAACATCAAGATACTTTTTTTTGCAGTGAATACACTATTGTAGTGTTTCGGCAAAAAGAATTATCTGTGCCCGTACTCTCTAAATCTGAATTAGTAAAAAATTAACTAATTCATTTAGTAAATTAAATTTTAACTAATGAATTAGTTATTTTTGGAAGTTTTACTAATAAAATAGTAAAAAATTAGTATATTTGAACATTACTAATTTAAAATAGTAATCAAATTAACTAATTCTAAATACTAAATGAATTAGTCAGTTGAACGTAACCTCTATTATTTTCATGACGTATGTCATCTTCCATGGGTTTTTTTTAAAAATATTTTTTTGTTTTTTTTAGTATTATGTGATACTATAGCTTGTACTATGTTCAAAATATTTTGTTTGGTGCTTTAAATATTACTTTTGAAATTATTTATATTTTCCTAAACTAACCGTTAAAATTTTTTTATTAATTTTATTTCACCAAAAGTAACTATGTATGTGTATCTAAACTGTCTTTAAGTAAATTAATAAATTACTATAAAGTGAAAATTTTAATAAAATCTTTACTCAAAAAAAATCGGAAATAATATATCAAATGAACCACCAGAACGTAAAAAATTTTATATGAATTTTGCCAATATTATGCAATTTAACCCATGAAAACTGACTTAAAAATAAAATATTTTTTATACAATCATGAAGAAACTACATGTGAAAAATTTTATCTTTGAAACTCGACTTTTCAAATTTAAAATTTTAGTATGAATAAGTTGATAAATTTTTATTGATTATTTACGATTTGGCGTTAAAATTGTATAATAACTAATGAATTAGTAAACAATTAGTAGTTTTAACTAATCAATTAGTAATTTGCGCCCCCGGGAGCCGCATTAAAAAGTTACTAATTGAATTAGTTAAACCAAAATAACTATTTGAATTAGTAAGTTTTTACTAATTATTAGTGACTCACTTTTTGCTTTTTGAATTAGTAAGATTCTACTATTAATTAGTTATTTTTATCTAATTCAGATTTAAAGAGTAATTCAGGATTTTTATCAGTTTTTGGCGATTAGCTCAAAGAAATTTTTTTTGCCGAAACACTACGATAGTGCATTTTCATGTATTTTTTCACGCTGAATCCGAATTCAAAGTCAAAATTGATAGATTGGCTAAAATTTTAAAGATAATTCCAAAAAATTGATTTTGAGTTTTTTGTTACTTGAGTTTTTTGCAATTATCTCAAAAATTTGAGCGAAACTAACAATTCTGACTGAATTTGGATTCAGCGGCAAAAAATACATGGGATTACACTATCGCAGTGACATTTAAAATTTTTTTAACTTTTTAATTTTATTTTTATTTCTGAGCAGTTTTTTGAGTTTATTTCAAAAATAAAAACCAATCTGACAATTCTGACTTCGGATTCAGATTCAGCGGGAAAAAAATACATGGAAATAGACTAATGTAGTGTCTCGGCCAAACAGTTTTTTTTGTGTGTCTGTGTAATTATACAAATATTTTTAGTTATAATCCACAAGAAATAGAAATTAAAAACATGTTATTGATGTGATTTTACATGTAAATATTCTCCGCAGGTTTTCCCGCGCAAAATATTTGATAGATTGAGCTAAAATTTTTTTTGGATGAACTCAAAAATAGTTTACATCCAGAGAAATATTTTATTGTCGTTTATTTGAAGCAAATAAAAATATATTTGTCTCAGGGCCTAATAACTTTTTATTTGTTTTAAATAATAAAAAAATTCATATGCAATTTTTTATAAGAATTAATTTTTTTTTTTGTTTTTGTAAAACTGAAATTAGTTTTTATTTAATATTTTGTATGTAATGAAGACCTAAATATTATTAGTTTGCATTACGACTTGAACGTCTTTATGTATTTTATTTTCACATTAAAATTTAAAACATAACCTATAATTTTTTGCTTCTAAGGTCCCTTTCTTCAGATCGCTTCATTAACGTGCCTATTATAAAACAATATTATTTAGTAATTTAATTATATTTAAAATGAATTATTTGTAAAATTCAATTATTGTAAAATGATTCAACATTTTTGTATGCAATTATTTTATAAACTCAATTATTATGTGCCTGAAGTTCTGAACGTTTCTGATGAACAAAATCATTTTTTTTTTAAAATACTACAGCAATGAAAAATAAAAAAGTACATTAAATATTTAAAAAATTATTAAATTTATCATTGTATATAACGAAAGTAATATTTTATAATACAATTTGAAGTTAAAAAAGTAGCATATATAAATTTTTCGTTCATTTCAACATACAGTACTCAGGCACATCAATTATTTTCAAAATTCAATTACCCTACTTTTATTTTTATCGATGAATTTTTTGAAGAAATTAAAGAAATTCTGGTATTAAAATACCAAAAACCGATGTACCTGAAGTTCTGAACGCTTAAATAAACAAAATCATTTTTTTTTCGTAAATAATTTTTTTTTAAATTACTATTAAAAATATTATTTTTTACGAATTTTAAAGTAATTTTGTGTTAGAAAATTTAATTCTTCAAAAAAATTCTCTTCATTTAGGTAAATACCAGTTTTTTTTTTTTTTGAATTTCAACAGCTTTCAAAAAATAAAACAAACAAATTTTACTTTTTATATTTTTCACGTTAAAAACTGATTTTTAGTAAAAATAAAAATTATATGTCAATTATCAAATTTTCTTACATTAAAAAATTCATTTAAAAAAAAAGGGAATTTTTTTTTCTTAAACTTCAATTACATTTTTATCATAATTTTTAAAAATAAAAACGAACAAAAATTATTTTTAGAGCCCTTCAGTCTCTTAAAAGCCATTAAAAGATGTTAAAACAGATTTATCAGTTTGAATTAGAATCTGACATAAATATTGATCACGGTGCAGTATAAAGGTTCTGATCGATAGACAAAGCGTGTTGGTGAATCTAAAAGCAGAACAGACGCGGTATTTGCCGCTCTTTCAATGTTCTTTTTTTTCAATTAGCGTTCCTCATTATTTTTGTCAAAAAAATAAGGAAAACTAAAATCTTAATTTTAGAAACCTTAAGAACCTTCTTTGACCTACTATTAATGAAAAAAACCAATTTAAAAAAAAAAATGTTTGACAAACTTTCTTTTACATTATCACATTTAAATGTGGTAAAAATTTAAGAACCTTTTGTAATGCTTGAAAACGAGATATGGCGTATAGTCCCAAGTATAAGAGTTAAAATTCATACCTGAATAATTCAATTTTTAGAATTTATAGAAAGATTCTGAAATTTTTATGAATTAATATACATAAATAATAAAAATTTTCTCCAAATAACAAATTTATTTATTATTAATTATCTTTAATAAAAATAATAACTATTTATTATTTCAGGGCACAGGATTTACTCTTCCGATGTTTAACATAATTTTAGGCATTTTTGGAGGTTTACTTGGACTACTTTGTACGTCATCTTTGGTTTTTTTATTTTCATTACGATTATCGCGAAGAAAACGACCAACAAATATTGAGGAACCAGAAATTGAAGGACCTGAGGATAAATCAACACTTTTGGGAACAGAAAATCAAGAGAGAACTAGTGATCGAGAGTAAGCACAATATATGTCATTTTTTTCTCACTTAAAATTAAAATCATTATATATCATCATCACAAAAAGACTTCATTGTTTTTTATAAAAACAATAGAAAAGAAAATCAAATTCACATCTAATACTGGACAGAGAAAATATTTTCAAAAACACATTTTCTATTTCAGTTATATATATATATATTATTTTGCTTCCTCATTGAAGGAAATAGAAGTTTTTTGTTTTCTTCGAAATTATATATATATGCTAAAGAAAATTTTGACTTTATAAATTATAAAATAATGAAATTTGAAATTTTATCAGTGACCTATGACTATAAAAAATTCTGGATGTTACTTGTTCTGAAATATCATCAGTGTGTATATATATATATTTATATATAATTTGAAATTATTGTATATCAATAATGCTAGGGCAACCGAATTGCTTATTTTCGATCTTTCTTATACGAAGACTCAGCAGAATGCTGATTAGAAAACGAAAAATTCTGATTGTATTGGAAAAAGTAGTTCGCTTTTTATTTGTACAACATGAATCCTAATACGTGCTTGGAATTATTTATAATGTTATTTTAAAAATATATCAATTGAAAAGTTCGTATTTCCTTTATATATATATAAAATCTTCATAATTTCAAAATTTTTTTTCCTTTTTTTTTTGTCTATAGATATTTATTTCTCCAAACAGAAAATTTAAAAAAAATTGAACTTTTAGAAATTTCAAATAATTTATTTTTCATTTTCAAATCGTTTGTTTTTGAATGATTTTTTTTTAAACAATATAGAAAAATTGCAATTTTCAAAATTATAAATTATTTCTAAATTAAAAAATATAATTTTCAAAATGTACAATATTGAAGTATTTTAAAGTTATAACTTTAAAATTGTCATTGTTACTGTTTTGAAATTTTTAACTTTTAAAAATAAACTTTTTTTCTTTGAAGCAACATAAAAGACTTAAATATACTCAAATAGTATGCAATGCGGTTTTAATAATGATAATTTAAATTAAAAATGTTTTTAAAAAAATTTGAATTAATTGCATATTATAATATATAATATACTTAATTCAAATTATTTGATTGAACATCCGGAGGTGGTAGTTAAGAAACAATAATAATGACTGGAATTGATGAATAATAATTAGTATCAAAATCTATTTTTTTAAACCTTCGGATAGTCATAAAATAAATTGTTTATAACACTTGTAGTTAATATCAAGATCCTTTGAAATTGATATACAAATATGTATAGGATTTGCAATTGAATTTTTGCAAATTGATTTTACAATTTTTATTTTATTTAACATAGAAAAAAAACGATTATATACATTCACAAGCAACGCAAAAATTTTTAATTATATGAAAGTATTAAAAAACAAAAAAGAAAAAAAAACATAAAATTACATACAAAACATAAAAATTAAGAATTTTAGAAACAATTATGTTCTTTGTTAATTTTTTATAATTTTATATATATATATGCAACGCACAGCATTTTCCGAAATATACAGACATATTGTTCATTTTCCTATACCAACTTTAAAATTTTAAACGTGTATTTTTACTTGGTATAGCTTTTCGAGATATATTATATACATAATACGTATAGGTATATATTTAAATTTTTTTAATAAGTATCTAGGAAATTGCAAATGAAAGTGAGAATGACTTTTTTTTCATTTTTTTTTACAACTTATTAATTTGACGAATTATTATATAAATCCATGAATCAGTTAATTAATTGACAAATCAGTCAACTACACCCAAAGAAATGTTTTATTTGAACTAAATAGAATATATTTGAATTAGATAAACGTATATTTGTCTCACAGCCTAGCCTATTTATTATTTGGCGTAAATAAAATTTTTTACATTTAAATTTAAATCAAATAAAAATTTATTTGAATTAAAATTAAAATTTAAATTACTTTTGGACTCAATTTTGTAATTTTAATTCGAAAAATAAATTATATTTTATGTTATCATCGATTGAGACATTAAAATTTTTTCACGAATATTGCATTTTAGTTTTTTTGTTATTTCTTAGTAGATTTTGTTAATGATATTTGCAATTTTTCATCTAAAATTATTTTTTTTTATATTATACTAAAAACAGATATATGAAAAATTTTCATTAGTTTAAAAATGAAAAAATTTAATGTCTTGATCGGTGACGTCGAAATGTGTAACACACTCTTAACAAATAATCAGAAAGGACTTGAAAAGTTATTTCACAAAATAATAATAGTTTCTAGTAAATATATAGCGGAGTGTAAGAAAATGAACGAAAGTTGGTACTTTCAAACGTTTCAAGCTTTCGTATTATGATAAATAAGTCAAGTACATATATAATTAATACACAGCTTAAGTATTTAATTATATATAATATATACAATTAAGATCTAAAAAGAACTGCTTTTTAAAGCTATTTCACTTTGTGGAAAAAATATATAATGTTAAAATTAATGAGCCAAAAATTTTGAACGTTCATATGAACGAAATTTTTTTTGCAACTTCTTTAAGTACGAATTTTATTACAAAATATTGTTTAAAAAATATCTAAAAAGATGTTATTAATTTAATAATTGTTTAATTATTAAAATATTTAAAAAATTTAAAATATTTCGTTTATATGAACGTTCAAAACTTTTGGCTCATTAAAATTTAAAAAAAAAAAAGAAAAAAGATTTTCCCAAAGTGGCAACATCTTTTGTTGCAAACTTCATTTTCAAAATAAAATAAAAATATATCATATAATTTGATACAAAATCAATATACAAGAATACGAATCGAAAATAAAAAAAAAAATTATAAAATAATTTTGATTCCTATTCTTGTTGGCTCGAATTTGTTATCAAATCTTGTTGAAAATAATTTACAGAGTTGTCTATTCCTTATTATAAGCATTGCCAGTTTTCTATTTAAAAAAAAATTGTTAAATTTTGTACCCCAAAAAAAAAAAATGATAAATTGTTTTTTAGACCTACTTTAAATTCCAAATGAATTGCAATGTAATTTATTAAATTTATATAAATAAAAATATTTATTAGCAATTATATTAATAACTGCGTGTAACTTAAAAAAACATTTACATTATAATATATAATAATACAGGACCGACGCTAGCTGCATTTAAAAAAAATATATTATTTACGAAAAGTGACATTATATTATATAACAATAAATACATAATTTCTGTACAAAAATAAATGTTCGATGCGTTTTTCGACAAAAAAGAAAAAAAAACTAATAACAGATACAAAAAAGAAGAATAATATACGTGCGGTAGCTGAAGAGTAACCTTTAAGATTGTATTTTTTTATCTTTATTAATTTTTCCATCTCTACATGTTATATATTATTGAGAGTAAGCAGTAAATAAAGATACGAAACAGGGTGGCGTAACTTTTGTTACAATTTACTGATAAAAAAATAAATTGGTAAACTATTGCACGAATGTGGTTGTATTAAAAATCAATAGTTTTATTATAATGAAATTATAGTAAAATAATATTGTAAGAAATTATATATATATAGGTATATTTAAAAACAAAAAAAAAAGAGTCTCGAGTCGCTCTGTTTTGGCGCCACACTGTAGCTAGCTTAGGTAGGTATGAAAAAAAAGAAATCTGTGTACATATAATTAAAAAAAAATATTATCAATACTGTATGTCGCAACAATTACAATATTGTAGCATTTATTATTGGAAATCAAATTGTTACTTTTCAAGTTAAAAATTAATTTAGCTCATGCCTAATTAGGGCCTATTGAATGTATAAAAAAAAAATAATAATAAGTGGTTTGAGAAATCTCTACTGTCTTTCATTCAAAATCTCGATTTTTTTTTCTAATTTCTTATTATATTACTTCCAATGTGACAATTTATTTTTATTTTGCAAAAAATTTAAACATAGGAATACAAATAAAATGAATTAAAAATTTTCAACTTTTTAAAGCAAAATTTAACTTTTCAGAAAATTTTTTTTTATGTGAATCGAATAAAAAATGCGGGAGGATTATTATCCCATAAAAATAATTAATTACCGAATTTTTGTTTGGCAGAATTTTTATTTTCTATAGTCATTTAATTTACATGACTTTTTATTTAAGAGAATTTTAATTTAATCAAATTTTAATTGAACAATATTTCCATTCAATCAAATTTTATGTTATTCGAATTTTTAAATGACATAAATTCATCGAATTTTAATTTGTCCGAATTTTTAATTGACAGAAAGATTTCGGCTTAATTTTAAAAATTGACCAATCACGATTTTCTTAATAATTTCTAATTGACACGGAAGAAAAAAGAATTGTTGTGGTTACTAAAAATTAAGTCCACACAACAATTCCAGATTGTCAATATAAATAAACCAGCAGTTTTATTTGTTTTTGGGACAAAAAAAATTGTTATTAAAACTATTCAGATTGTTCGGTGAACAAACAGAATTGTTTGATGAACAAAGAAAATTGTTATGGAACAGTTGAAATAACAAAACTAAATTGTTAAATCGGCAATACAATTTGTTTTATTAACAAAGCTTTGATCCGTCTAATACAATTTGTTCAGTTTCTTCGACTTCTAAAATAATTTCCGTAGGCCATATCACCAGTTTCATTTGCATTAAAATCTGTGGAACATGCAGCTTCTGAATCAAATTCTTTGACCTGAAACCAAAAAATTATTTTGAGTTCAAATTTGTTGTTAAATAATATTTAATATACATTTTGTATTTTTTAAGGTGAGGTTATGTTCAATTGTAACCGAGTATAACTCACCGTTAAACGATGAAATTCACAGTAAACTTGGTTGTATCTTTTTCTTTTGCAACGTTTTGATGCACATAAGTTATATCAAAAAGAGATCGTTTTGTGTATCATTTTTAGAAATGATAATATACGAAACGGTCTCATTTTTTGATACAAAAAATTTAATCAATTTATATCAATCATGGCCGAATTGAATCGACTCAAAATTAAACGAATTTTTTTCAGATATTTTGGTAATAGTACAATTGCGGAGACCATTTCACTATTTAATTTGAAAATGAAAATAACAGAAAATCAAAGACAATGTGCAATTCGATAATTAAAAAGTGACAGCTTATAAACATAACCTAAAATGCATGAGAAAAAATTTGTCGATAAAATCAATATAGCCGAGCTTTTTAGAAGGTAGATGGCAGTTTTGCTTTTTATAAAAACGATTCAGAAAAAATTTAAAGAAAGAAAATAGATGAGTGCTGGCATCTACCTTCTAAAAAGCTCGGCTATATTGATTTTATCGACAAATTTTTTCTCATGCATTTTAGGTTATGTTTATAAGCTGTCACTTTTTAATTATCGAATTGCACATTGTCTTTGATTTTCTGTTATTTTCATTTTTAAATTAAATAGTGAAATGGTCTCCGCAATTGTACTATTACCAAAATATCTGAAAAAAATTCGTTTAATTTTGAGTCGATTCAATTCGGCCATGATTGATATAAATTGAATAAATTTTTTGCATCAAAAAATGAGACCGTTTCGTATATCATTTCTAAAAATGATACACAAAATGATCTCTTTTTGATATAACTTATGTGCATCAAAACGTTGCAAAGATTTGATGCAATTTTTGGTCTCAATTTGATACTTTTAGGAAAACTGTGTTGTCTCTTCATCCATTTACCACACTTACAATAGATTTCTCACTTTAACCGGATTCATTATTTAACAGCACTTTGTCATTTCTTTTTAAAACTAATAATAAAAGCAAAAGTGAACGAAGCAATTGACGCGACAATTTGCACGCCATTTTGCAAAAATTCAAGATGACCACGTGACATAGAACAATAAACCTGTCAGTTGAACAAATCCGGATTGTTCCATCAGCAATCGACAGAGAGTTTGCTTCTGCAACTGTACTGAATTGCAAACTGAAAACAAAAAAATTCGTATTGTTGTTAAAACAATACGGCCATTTGTAATTTCGAACAAAATGAAAATTCGGCGTCTTTAAAATTCATAGAATTAAAAATTCGATTAATTGGAATTGAATAATTGAAATTTTAAAAAATCAACTCACAGACTATAAAATGAATCCTAAGATAACAAAATGACCCAAATATTTAAAAAAAATCGAAATTTTAAATATTTCGGATATGGAATTCCTTCTGTATAATTCATTTTCGACTTTCCACCCTCAAGCTGACTAAAATCGACCTGTTCTATTTGACTAAAACTGTACAACCTTTTTCCCCGAATCTGTTAAAAAATTCTATCAAAAAATTATTTGATTCAAATAATCAATATCCATTATTCTGTATTCGTATCAATAACACATCTATTGAAACAAATACCATTTAGTTGATTCAAATAAAAATTATTTTCTTCAAATAGATATATATATATTTAATTTGATAGTAGTCAAATGACTATTTGAATTAAATAAATTTTTATTCCATAATGCCACTCAAACTTTAATGAAAAAAAAAAAAAAATTAAACAATTACCAACTGTTGTTAAACATTATCGCGTAGTATATGAATATAAAAACAAGATGGCAGTAGACTGAAGTGCGTGATTCCCCACTTCTTTGCTTTTACACACACACATACAAATAGTCATAATGTGCATGACTATTTCCGTATAGAGGTCGAATGCATGTGCCAGGACATTTACTAAACAACATTTTAGTACGGTTTAGACTTTAGCCGAACGGTCTGGCCAATCTAGTATCTGCTGATCGGCTTTGTAAGTACATAAATTATTTTTATTTTTTTCATCAACGAAATATTAACAAACCGGCAAATTTGTCAAATTGATTCAACTCTTCAATACCACTCAGCCGCTCCTTTATTACCTTTTACATTATTACGCACATGAAATCAAATATAAAAGAAAATAAATTTTCTATTTTATTAAAATTATGTTTTTGTATTAAAAATTTTAAAATGATTAAATTAAACAAAAAAAAAAAATTTTTTTATTTAATTTTCTATTGAAAAATATTTTCCCACCCTCTATAGACGTCAAGGTAACAATTACCTTTCGATTAGTCATTTTTTTGTATTATTTTTTTTTCAACAAATGTATATTTTTATTGACATGCTAAAATACAACATCTTTTTCTATTCTGAAAATGGAGAACAATTTTCGCGCGATCGTTAAATAAATGAATGTAATTTTTTTTACGATCATTGAATGCGTTTTTATTGTTTCTCAATCAATTATAATGAAAAAAAAACATACACTGGCAAAATAGTTTTTTTTTTTTTTTAATCAAAAACGAATTCTTTGAATGAAATTAAATACACATTAATTTTTAATTTGTTTGATTTCTGGAAATGTTCTATCTATTAAAAACAAAAATTTTTTTAATTTAAAAAAATTGTTTAAAAATATTTTTTAATTGAAAAACATTTTTAATTTAAAGAAATTTTTACCATACTGAGAAAAATTTATTTAAATTTAAAAAACGTCTTTAGTTAATTTTATATACATTATATATGAGTCAAGATAGATTTTATTTTTACAAATTTCTCTACAGAGATTTTTGAAAGAAAACATAACGGAACGTTTCTAAAAAGTAGGTATTTTCCAATAAATCAAATATAAAAATTTCTTAAAGTCAAAAAATATTTTATAATAACGACATTAAACAATAAATAACAGTTAAATATTAATAAATCTCTATTTAGTAATTATTTAATTATTTTTTATTTAAAAACAATTTTCTAGTAAAAATATAATTCATTTAATTAAAAAAATATTTTAATGTTAATAAAAACTGAAATTATTCATATAAATATGTAAACTTAAAGAATATAATATAATTCAATATCTATAAGTGTATGAAAAACTGGATCAAACTTCACTATTTGATATTAAAAATTAAACTTTCAACTCTTTTATTGTATTTTTAATTTTAACCTAAAAATTTATATTTATGATAAATAATAAAAAAACAATAAATAATATTTTTCTGATATAATAATAATAATATAATGGTAATGATTTTTTTTCTGTAACTGAAAAATCAGTAATTCACATTTAATAGTAACGATTAAAATTTGGAAATTGTGAAAAATTTAAAGAAATAAAAATATTGTAATTTAGAAAAAATAATTATTTTCATAAATCTGTAAGTTTTCTGCACATTATATCGTGATATAGTTTAAGTACTTAAGTCAAGTATTTTCTATAGATAAAATGATTGATATGAATAGGAAGTATTTTAACCAAAACAGTGTTTTATCTGAACAGAAGGAGATAAGAAAATTTAAATTTCAAAATCAAATGTCGCTAAAAATTTAATTTGTAAAATCGCAGATGTCTTGCAATCTGGCGTATTCAATTATTTATGATTGATATTTAAAATGTATGAACATCCACCAGGTATGAAACAAATTTTGTTTTCTTAACAAAGTTATAGGTACATAAAATATTCGTTTTTTTAAGTAAATTTTAATTTTAATACTAAATTAATGAGCCAAAAATTTTGAACGTTCAAATGAACAAATTTTTTTTTTGAAACTTCTTTAAGTACGAATTTTATTACAAAATATTGTTTTAAATATCTGAAAAGAAGTTATTAATTTAATATTTCTTTAATTTACTGTTTTATTTTACATTGACATTATAATTTTTAATATAATTTATAAATTGAAAAAAATATTTTGTTCATTTGAACGTTCAGAACTTTTGACTCATCTAAATTATTTAAATTATTTAAAATTATCATGTCAATGTAAAATAAAACAGTAAATTAAACAATTATTAAATTAATAATTTCTTTTTAGATATTTAAAACAAAAATTTTGTTCATTTGAACATTCAAAACTTTTGGCTCATTATTAATAAATATAGTATATATATATAATAATTATGCAATCAAAAATAAATGATTTAATCTAGTAAAATTAAATATTAAACAATTTTAATGATAAAATTTAAAAAGGTCTTATTATCAAATTTATTTTGTTTTAAGAAATAAAAAAACCCAAAATTCAAAAATCGCCCTGTCATCTGACGTTGAACTTTGATTTTTCAGAAATTTATTTCACGCCTGTAATTTAGTTGCAAATATCAAGAATAATAATTAGTCATTGTATTTTCAATAATTTTAATTAATCTATAATAAATGAATGAATTAAATTTTTTTTGTCTAGAGCGCATCTCTTTAATAAGTATAATTTTTAATTTTATTGTCTTTAATGGTTAAAAAAAACCACTTGATACACATATACAAAAGTAAAAAAAAAAAAAAATGATTGCATAATATGGTCCATTTTTGAATCAATTGTTAAACCCGGAAAGATTCTGGTTTTTCTGGACCTACTTTAAAAAAAAAAAAAATTTATTTACATAACCGGTTTTTCATCCTCTATACTAAAACTACTGTGAGAGATTTCAAAATCATCATTATAATGAGAGAATTAAGAAATTTCTTTGTATTTGAAAAATATTTAAAAAAAAAAATAATAATTTTATTTTGTTATTTAAAATAATTTTCATTTTTTTATTTATAAATTTAATAATAATTAAAATTATATAATTGTAACAAATTATCATTATTGATTTTTTACAATAATTATCTTTAAACGCAAATAAATAAAATACAACAATAACAAGTTGTTTCATCTAAAAATAAATGAATCACTTTTTATAGTAAAAAAAAAACAGTGTAAATAATTCGTTTGTGCAATGTATTGTTTATTGTCACATCAGCAATAATTTCTATATTGTTTTTATGTATAAATTAAAAAAATATTTTTAAAAAATTTAATTTGCAATATGTCACAATAATTAACTAATTTTAGGTCATCAATTAAAAACTAATTTTAATTGTGACAACAAAATTTTCTCATTTTTGTAATTAGGGTCAGTCGGGGTAAATCCGAACGGGGGGTAAATCCGAACGCTAATTATTTCAGCTTAATTAAAATTTTTAAAAATAAGTTCGATATGAGAATTTTTACCTCAGATCCTCTTGAAGAGATTCTAAGTATTATCCCATTTTTTGTTTGTTAATTAGCAACAGCATAAACAAAGATAACAAGTATTGCAAAAAAGATTGAAAATCAAAGATGACACTCTTTCAGTATTTTGTCTCATATTTGAAGAAAAAGAAGCTAAAAATTCATTTTATTATTTATAATTGTTTGTTATGAATACTAGAACAGAAACTATATTTGATTTTTGCCTTCTGTAAAATTTTATTAATAATATCAGACCGTTCGTATTTACCCAAAAAAATTGGAAAACTGGGGTAAATCCGAACGGTATTTTTAATAATTTTTTTTTACATCAAAGCCACACAATATTGTTTTTATTTGATTACACTATTATTTTAACATTATAAAAGTACATAGAAAAAAGTTTTTCTTTCTATACGTATCCTCGTTAGTAATTAATAAGCAGAAACTTAATCTCTGTTCTCTCGAAGGAGTGTTTCAATTTTTTTGCCAAATGGTTTGTTGAAAAAAGTTTTTCAGGATCTTAATAAAATTTGGTATTCTACGGTTTTTGGGGTCGCTAATTACCAATTTGAAGTCAGTTTTTCAAAATTCAAAATGGCGGACGAGAATTAAAAAATTCATTGGATTCCCTCGAAAATTGTTACTCGGGGGGTTTCAGGGTTAGCAAATTTGATCATTTTTAAAAATAAGTTTTAGGAAAGTACGACATTTTGAATTTAAAAAATTTGACTTTTATTTTTGTATTTACATTCAATCACTCCAAAATACTTTCTGTAGCAAGTTTTGCAAACATCCGTTATGATTTGATAAAGTTATTGAAGGTTTTAATTGTGTAATGCATTTTAATTTTTAACCTGTTTGATTTTTGTATTTATATATGATGCATTATTACATAATAGGTATATTATCGTATTTTTTTTGAGTTTTTATATAAGTTTAACAATTGCAATACTTTAAATTTATTTTCCCTAAGATTTTTCTGAAATACAGTGGCGTTCGTATTTACCCCCATATTTTAGGAAAGTTGCAAAGTATCGAGGTAAATACGAACGCTAAGTTTCCTGCGATTGTAATTTATCAAAAATTTTTTCTACCCCATAAAATTGTTCTATGGAAGTAAAGTAACAACTTCATGCACCAGAATACCGGAAGTATTTTTTTTTTAAAGAAAAAACTTATGTTATTGTTGAAACTTACTAAAAGCGTTCGGATTTACCCCAGTTGACCCTAATTCAAAATATAAAAAAATTTATTTTTGTTAATATGAGAAAAAATGTAAATCTTATTTCATATAAATAATTTAAAACTTAAATTAAATAAATCAAAATTTTTATTTTTCAATTGTTTTCAATGTCGATCAAGAAATTTTACACTAAAAGAAAAAAACAAAAAAAAAAAAAAGAAAACAGAAGTATATTAACGTGAAATTTTTTAAGTAAATCTTCATTTAAAGCGAATGATCATTGATCATTATATTGACCCGACACATCTACTATCAATGAATGAAAATGTACTCGCCGTTTGATGTATAGTGCATGGAAAGGAACGTTCAATTTGCTTTTAGTAGAGTTAAGATGTTAGTGTATTGCTGATGCTGTCATCAGGAAGATAAATATGCTAATCAGTTAAAGCACGTGCTCTCAAACACGTTACTGTACCCAATAATATTAATTAAAACCATATATTTTCAACTTGACAATGCGTATTTGAAATTTTTTCTCAGTGAACTTTTTTTTTCCTTATATGAATTTTATTTTTCTTTATATGAGCGCA